GGCCATACGTCTGATGGCGTACACTTCTAGTGACGGCCGCTGCGAAGTTGTTTGGCTGCTTCAAAGGAGGCCAAAGTGTGTTTGGTGAGATTGCGGAGAAGAGTCAGGGCTTGATGTTTGGTAGAGGTAAAAAGGTATGGTTCTCTGATCGTTTGCTGTCGTCTGCGTAGCTTGCGAAAGAGCCGCTTGTGAGTGGCTAGTAGAAATGTGCTCGGTGTTTTGTGAATTGCCAGCCCTCGGCCTCGAGCTTGAGATGTTGGGAGATGAAAGGCCAGTTGAGGGGTGGCATGCAGTTGGAGATAAAGTGGTGTTCTTTGATCCATGCTTGATCGTAGTTGTCGTGGGAAGAGAGCTGGATGGTAGTGAAGTGGTGAATGTTGTCATGTGAATGCCAGTAGCGCAGGGATAGTTCAGCGGAGACGGGGATGTTGTTTTGAAGTTGTTTGAGCTTGGCTCGGCGATTGTGTTCTCGATGTGGTACGCCGATGGCGGTGGAGCCCACATAGTAGTGGCCATGTTGGTGGTAGCAACGTTGTGGAGCCATGGTGTTGAAGTGGAGTTTGATGTAAACTGAGTTGGAGGAGAGGAAGTTGTGGTAGTGGTAAGTGTGAGGTAGAACCTGAAGGTGACGGAAGCGTTGGCGCCATTGTTGGGATCGTTGTGTGGATGAGGGATAGCAAAAGAGAAGGGTGATGTGAATGAGGCCGACAGCAAAGATGGCTTCAGCGCGTTCGATGTATTGGCTTTTGCGGGTCAGCGTGGAGAGAGCGCGGCGCAAATGGTAGAGTTGTTGTAGGTGGATGTTGTTCGGCAGTTGCTGGCTGCGGAGAGAGAGTCAGCACGCAACGGCTGCCCCTGTGCTGACAATGCGCTGTAAGCTTTTGATAATCAGTTTGTTGACGCGGGCTAGTGGCAAACCATATCGGGTGGCAGCTTCTTTTAGTTGCTCGGTGGTCACTTTGCTCGTCTGCAAAATGCGCAGCACCTCCTTGGCGGATTCTTGGATAGCTGGATCGAAGCTGCGCATCCATTGTTGGATTGCCGGGGCTGTCCACGATTCGGGGACATCGTCTTTTAAAGACGGGCGCGGTGGTTGAAGGACATCGGACAGCTCAGGTGGCTTGTGCGCTGCGGGTGCGCTGGGGCGGAGGAGCGGCCGGCCTCTTTTCGGGGCGTGAGTTCGATGCCGTGGGCTTGCAACTTCTCTCGGGCTCGTGCCAGGTCGTCAGAAGTGGCTTTCAAGGCGCGAAGGGCGGAACCTTCAGCGGCTGCTGGAGCGTGAGCTTGAAGTTGTTGAGTGAGGAGAGATATCAGTGGGGCGTGGAAGGCGCGAGCCTGGGTGGTCTTGTTGGGAACTTCTGCGCCTTGGGAAGTGCGTAAGGCTTCAGCAATAGCGTCCAAGTCAAGGCGCTTGTCCCGAATTTCTTGTAATCGGTGGGCGGTGAAGACGGACTCAGCTATGCTGCGTGTTGGAAATGAGGCCACAGTATTTCCCGTGGCTGAGAGTCCTGGCCGTATAGTCCGCCGTACCGTGGTACGCGAGGAGCCACGGGAAAACATCGAAGGTGGGAAGACCGGCGACGCCGACGCGACGTGACCATTGGGTGGGTTGTATGGTGCGGTGAAGTTGATGGCCGTGTAAAGAGTTAGAGTCCCAGTGAGAATCTGTGGGATGCCAGGAGTCTTGAAGTGGTGGTTTGGGAAATGGGACTGTTGATGGCGGCGCTGGTGGAGCCGGGTGAGTCGGGCTGTGCTTGAAGGATGTTGCAGTGGGAGTAGTAGGGGCTGCGGTGGTTGGCAGAAGGTGAGGGAGTGTGTGCTGGCTGTGAAGAGGAAGGGGATGGAGTGTACGGATGGTGAATGGGTCATAATCCGGGTGTACTGGTGGCTGGCTTGGCCCTGGTGTGCCGTTTGCTGCTGCTGTTGTTGTTGTTGTTGCTGGGGCAAATAGTGTTGCCAGTAAAATTGTGGCCACTGCGCGTCCATGATGTTCAAGTCTCTAGTGACCTGCGTCTGGCGGTGTGTGGGAAGTGGTGGGGAGCGCATGTTGCTGGAAGAGGACCCAGAGTCACGTTTCGGTGGGTTTTGGGTAGGATTGCAGATCTGGGGTTTTAGGTAGGATCGGGCCTAAATCCCCAGGCAGAGGCCTGTTTCTTAGAATGTGGGAAAGTTGTTGTTCGTCATGTGTAGCCTCCTGCAGGTTCAGGCATAGTATATCAATGTCTGGCTTTGCAGGCCCCAGCATGCAGACAGCAGCAGCAACAACAACAACAGCAACAAAAAGACACATTAAATTGTTTGCAAAGAGTGCCCTGAAGGCGTGTGCCAACCATGTGTCCACGTGAGCAAACAACATGTGAACAACAAGTTATTTTTCATGCAAACATGCAGAGAAGCTTTGATTAACAAACCGCAGCTGTTTTGCAACTTTTGCTGTTTCGCTGGGAGCTTGGGAGTCTGGCCATGTGTTCATGTCCATGCAAAATGTGTTGCGTTTTGTTTGTGTGCATTGCGCTGTGAACGTTGTCCTTCCGCAGCTTTTTGGTGGGCCCAAGATGGTCAAGAAAAGGAAGAAGGCTGAGCTGCCAGAGGCCTGGCCACAGATTTCTTTTAAGGGTAAGTGTTTCACTTGTTTGCGGCGCAGGAGCCTGGGGCTGAACAGCGACATGCTCAGGCAGCGCAGAAAGGAGCTGGGTCTAAGGTGGCCTTCCCTCTGAAAATGAAGGGAAGTGGTACTTCTTCTGGTTCGAAGCCAAGTTCTGGGTGGCAACCGTGCGAGGGTGGATCGGGCAATTTGCCTGAGCCTGAGCCTCACCTGCAGAGTGACGGGCCTGACCTTGAAAATTTCCCAAAGCCCATGCCAGTGAGTCGAACGCTGGGAGTAAAGGAGACTGACTCAGAGCCAAGTGGAGTGCTAGATTTCCAAAAGGCCTGCTCTACCATAGGCTGTGGTAGTCATTGAATGCCACGCAGTGTTGGTAGCTAAGCTGCTGCATGGTGCAGCGGCAAGACGGCCCCACAAGAGTGTCCCGCAAGAGTTTCGCACAAGAGTGTCCCACAAGAGTGTCCTACAAGAGTGTCCCACAAGAGTGTCCCACCAGAGTGTCGTGAGTGAGTGTCCCACAAGAGTGTCCCACAAGAATTACACACAAGAGTGTCCCACAAGAGTTAGACAACGCGCACTGTGAGCAGCTAGAGTGGCTGAAAAACGGCCAGAGGGGTTTTAGCTCAGGTGGCAAACGCGAGGACAAATACATGGAACCACTACCCCTGCTTACTTGCATGGTCTTCATGCCAACTCTTCGTTTCAAAAGCTTGGACTGAATCTCAAAGACTTTTTCAGATACCCTGCCATGGCGTAGCTACTTCATAGACTTCATGTTTTTTGGGGCGCGCGGCACTCCTCGACATAGGTCTTTTGCAATCTAGCCAGACGACCAGAACAATCTTGCTTGGACGTATCGCCACCTTTTGTGCGCTACTACACCCCCTCCTCCAGCGTTGGGAACTCTCCTACCCCGGGCCCTGTGGCAATTTTAGTGTTGTTGTCGTTGTTGGAAGCTGGGGGGTACAGTGTTCAGTAAACGCGGAGCATGTATAGCAGAGACACGCATAGACCCCAAAGCCGGCTGCGTTGGTATCTTCAGGGGAGCGCGCGCGAATATGGTTTGAATGTCCCACACCCTGATTGCCATCTGAAACTTTGAGGCAGCTCACACAGGTACAATCTACGCAGACATTACTGGCGATAAAACCCACTCCCAAACACGTAGCATTCAAAAAAACACTGCGTCGCAAACAACTTCAAGAGCAACAATCAGAGCGGTCAAACACTCAGTTTTTTTCACAAGCGCATCTGCTTTGCATTTTGTAGCAGCCACTTATCCGAAGCACTTGTGGCAAAGCGGAACTTTCCGTGGATCTTTCATACCACTGCAGTGCAGCCTCTTGTGCGCACAGCCTCCATGAATCGGGATATAAATGTAATGTTCTAAGACAACCTCATTCCGGCTTCCGAGGAACTTGCAGGTTTTTGACGGCAGCAGCGTCCCATCAATGGAATCAATGGGTTCAGGACCGTCACTGGTCAGCCGCACATCTTTCACTTTCTTTGTCGAACTGCATCCACAGCAGCTGATCAGCACCAACGTAAACAAAACACCGAGAACGAAACTTGCCAGCATCCACATAGCTAAAAACATCGTTCCATCGTCCATGTTCTCCACAAAATTGATGGGGCGCTGGCAGGGACACACGGAGCGGACTTGAGGCGGACACTGAGAAGCAGCGTGGCAACATTTTTTGCACTCACGCATGTGGCTTGCAAAAACCACAAAAAGAACTGCAGTTCCTATACGTACAAGAATCCTGACAGCAGCAGTTCAACAGTGGGAGTGTTTTTGCACATGCGTCTTCGAGCGCAAACCACTCAAAAGAAAAGCGTCAAGCAACGTTTTTTTGCAGCCCTCAGCTGACTGTCGACTATCGGTTCACAGTTCACTGTTCTGTTCACCCCTTGCATCAGAAGCTTTGCACGCTTCAGCTCTCCAGTCTCACCTGAGACCCGAGCCCCCACAAACCAAAAGCACATATGCAAACAAAATCAAAGCTGCGAGTAGGAGACGTTGGACAAGCATTTACAAAAACTGTTTCGATTTGAGAAGGATAAGGAATCTTGGCGAGAGCGCTGCGTTTGTCAGTATTTTATACCTTGTACGCTGCAAGCTCTAAACTGTGGCGCAGTGAAACCTTGCTTATCACTGTCACACAGTCCCCTTGGCGATTTCTCACACAGACTGGTATGGTCTGATACAACAACATACGCGCAATGGCCTCCAGGCCTTCAAGTGAGCCGGAAAAAAAACTAGCAAAATAACACTCCAATCAGCTTTAAACAGGAAGCCATAACAAGGTCTAGTCTATATTTACGCAACAAAACCTGACGGCCACTGAGCTGCACTCACTAAAGCTACAAAAACATCACTTCCCTACCATGCCACTCATTCAGCTCCAGCGCTTTGAGGCGGCTGAGGCACAGGCTCCACCTTTGCCTTTGCCTGCGACACCTTCTCTTGCTCACTGGTAACGAAGTCAAGAACGGCATCCAACACATCGTTCTTTCTCTTTGACTCAAGCGCTTCCATTTTCATTGCTCTCAAGGTCTTGAGCCCTGCCTTGTCTCCACAGTCCGAATCCACAGCCATCACAGCAACCTTCAAGCCCAAGTGGTCTACCTTTGGCTCGATCTTTTCCCCAACAATCATCCCAGCTGGAGTGTATAGCAACTCTCCAGGGCCCAATGTGCCAACGAAGAACCCTTTCATTGACACCACATCATCCGCCTGCGCGTGCGAAAGGAAGGCCAAAGCTGAAGGGTAAGTGATCTTGTCCCGCTCGTCCTGCCCCTTCTTGTTGTTCCGGTCGTGGAGCTCTGTCAGGATCGGCTCTGGTGAAGTTAAGATCAACTGTCCTTGGTGAAACGAATGCTGGCTAGAACGTTTACAGAAACCCACCACTGGCCTAAGTCACCGTGCCCCACAACCCTACAAAACTACTCTGCCAGGTTCAAGGCTCGGGTGCCTTTCACACAGAACCGCAAGCTTGGAAGACCTCCCACCTCATATTGCACAGAGCGGTGTGACTCCACACAGCAAAACGCACCGGAGGGCTGCCATTGCTGAAGAGGAACCACATGGTGCTTGCCTGCAACAGTCAGCATGGCTTCAGAAACCTTGGCCCCCACATCTTGCTTGAAAGCCCTTTGCCCCTTGCCGGTAGTGAATCGAAGATCACTCTCCTGGAACTTCTTCTCAAAATCGTTGAGTTCAGTCAGAACCAAAGCTGCATCAGAATTTCCTTGGTCCTGCTTGACAATGTGCTGTAAAAGGGCCGGCAACTGTGTCAAGATGCACGGGTGGGACATGTCGTGGTCTTCAGGCACTGTGTTGGAATCATAGCGAGAAATGCGCGTGCAGTCCTCAGGGATAACCTCAACCAGCTGGTACATGGTGGTTGGCTTGCCCTTGGCTTTGCTTTTGCTCTTTCCCTTGGCTTTTGCCTGCCCCTTCTTCGCAGTGGTGCCATTCCTGGCATCAACAGCCCTTTTCAATTCATTCGTGGCCGTGCGGCATGATGCAACCAACTCGTCCCAGTGGCTGAACACGGGTTTCACCCGCTTCCAGACAGCCTCAAGCTGTTCCGGACAATGGAAGATATGGAAGTTGTCAGCCAAAGCTTTAGCCTGATCCACGGTGTACAAGCTCTCAAAGTTGTGGCAAGGCCCACTTGTCCTTGAATGCGCGAGTGCAACACGTTTTTTGCAACAGGAACAGACGCAGTCATTGAGCCCAATCAATCTTAAACGTCAGACACGCAAATTCATAACCTCGGGTCATACAAAAAGCTTAAGCCAAGTCTCCTGAGCATGTTGTCAGACGCACTGCCATGGGAGTTCTGAGACTTGTTCTCAGCCGACTGTGCATCAGCACCGGCACAGGCGCGGCTCACCTTCTCCACATACGAACGGAAATCATCGGCTGATCCATGGAGAACTTTCTCCAAAGCTTCCTGGCGGGTGTTCACAATCATCATCTCTGTAACTATGCTTCGGGTTGGCCCTCCAGGCAGTACCGGGGCAGACATAGAGGCCCGCGCAGCAATGACTTGCTGCTTCATGGAATCCAACATGGACTGCATGCGGGCCTTGGACTTGGTCAGCATCCCGTCAAACTGCCTCATCGCTTTCGCTCTCTGAGCTACGCCATCGAACCATTTATGGGGTTTCTCCGGCTCTTCACCCTCGGCCTCACCCTCTTCTGGGTCAGGCACAGCAGAGCTCTCAGGAGCATCGCTGTCGACCCTCCTGATTTTCCTTTGGGCTTTGGCTGCCAACCCACGGACACTTGGAAGTAGCATTTGGTCATCCGCGCCACTAGCTGCCAGAGATGCCATTGCAGCGCCTCGCAAATCATGCTGGGCACAAAGGAACACACCATGGTTTATGTGGGATCAAATGAAGAAAAAACGAGCTCAAAAGACACATTTGAAGATTGTCTCAACCCCGTCAACAGCCCCTCAAAAACAAAACTCAATTCAAACAAAGCACCGGAGTCAGCCTCACTGCTCCTAGGAGCCAGAACCAAGTCCTCACGCTTCCGCTTGAGGTCTTGCGCATTGAGTTTCGAGCTCAATCGTTGCGCCTGCTCGACCTCCCTCTGGTCGCCAACATCGTCGTAGTCAATGATGTCATCAAAGAGCTTGACAGCGAGCCTTAGACCGGCCCCGCCTTCACCTTCTTCCCTGTAAACAGAACTGCCCAAGAGCATTGAAGTCCATTTGGCCTGGGCCTGACTCGGACTCAAGAAACCTGCCTCGGCCGTTTTTGACCAGGTGTAAAACATATCCTCCGTCATCAATCGCCTCCTCCCTTCCTTCCTGACCCCCGTTGCATGCAGCTGTCGCTCACGGTACGTTGTCATGTTGAACTTGAGCCTTGTCCTCTCCTTTGCCGCACGCTCTTTCTCTTTGTTGTATGCTTGCAAGAGCGCATCCAGTTCGGAGTCCTCAAGACCAGCAAGCCATTTCTCTTCACCTGTCCTCTTGGCCACATTCCGCAGGTTTTTCAACCCCTGGCTGCAATCGCTGCAATTGGCTTGGCCTTCATAGTATTGCTTCAAAGGCTTGGCCTTTTTGCACCTCTTGCACTTTTTTGTGCTATCTGCATCGTCCTTCTTGGTGGTACCAGCAGACTTCCGCTTTCTGGGTTTGGGAGCGTCTCCATCGCCTGTCTTCTGCGCAGCAGGCGGAGGTGGTGGAGGGAGCTGATCGCTGCCGCCAAGCCAATCCACTTCCGCCTGAACCTCAGCGGAGTCCACCATGATGGTTGCCAAGAGCTGTGGCCCGTGGCTGACTAGTCTGACTGGCGTCTTACCCTTGAACCCAGCAATATAATGTATACCTGAAAAGCACTCCGAAACGTCAATCAAAACAATCTCACAAATTCATTGGCGCACAAAAGAAAGAGGTCACACATAGCTTCTGACGACGGCAGGACTCGTAGACTGCAGCAGCCAATCAAAGCCTTGGCCGGTGGATGCCAAGCCCAATACGCGTTGAAACGTTGCAGCGCTTTGACACAAACACCCTAAGAACGAGAGCCATGCGTCAGTTTTCATTGCTCTGGCGGCAGAACGTATCCCTATAGAATCCTGTGCTTAAATTGAAGCTCTGGCAAAGCCAAAGCTTCCTCGCTAGCTCACTGCGTCTACTTCCAAAGTTCATCCAGAGTGGTACCGCATAGGAGGAAGAGCAAAACATACCCCACGCACGGCAAACTCATGCCGTTCCCAGCCATGCCCCTCAGATCTGGAACCTCAATGAGTTTGTATACAAAAACAGCTTCACCCTCCTCGTCTTGGGACACATCAAGCAGCTTGTGGCGGAAGGGACATCCATAGGGAAAGTCAGGAGCAAAGATCGGCCACCCTTGAACTTCAAACAATTCTTGAGGCAGCATCACCCTTTGGTGAAGCATACTGAAAAGGTTTGAGTTGCGGATGAGGGCTGGGATGGCCTGAGAGCAAGGACTCCGAGACGCACTTTGCGTTGTGTTCATGACATAGAAGTCGACCTGTCCGCGCTGTAGACTTCCATGCTCCCTGCATTTCCTGGGAATGAGATCAAGGAATGCGAGATGTCTGGCTCTTACGACTCCACCAAACCCTACATCGGGAGGTATACTAGAGGTATACAATTTGCAAAGCCGATCAAAGCCGCATGAATTCCACCATCCTCAAATTTGACCCTAGAACGTCCACTCAAACGCGCATTTTATTGAACGGTTAGTTTTACTTTGCCTGATGTTCTGGGGTCAGGTGGGAGACCGCCCCTGCGAGCGAGAAGGCAAAGGGAGAAACAAAGAAGGCTCACTCTGATCAACCAGGACTGCAGACAATCCAAGCTTCTCTTCCCACTCCCGGACACGGTTTCGCGTGGTCTGGTTCATGAGCAGCTTCGCTTGCCACGGCTTGCCATTTGGTTGGGTTTCTGGCAGATGTTTCTTTCTTGCCATGTCTTTGTGAAAGGAGGCCACAACGCTATCTGGCGCGCAAAAGAAAATCCGGCCGTCCATGTTCAAAGGCCGGCGGAACAACTTTTCAAACGCGGTCGTGGGGTCCATTTCAATCTCGGGGCACCATGCAAGCCGTCCGTTTCTCCGCAGTAACAGCAAATACTTCCGGCTCCGGGAAACAGGGAAACCGAAGTTGCGAGGGTCCAAGTGCAAGACCAAAACTGAGTATTGGGAACTCACCAGTTGGTACACCACAGACTCATCAAAGTTGTCGACATTCTCCAAGATAATCCAATCGTCGGCTTCAATCTCTGCGTGGTAGAACAACCAGCATGCAAAAGTTTTGGCGTGTTCCCCCAACCACCCCATGCGATCGCCGAGGATGCTGAAATCTACACAGGTTGGGCCACTTATGTTGCCTTTGATAGCCCCCTTTGTTGTAGACTTGCGGAGTGGGCACTGCCGGCCGTGCCGGTAGCAATGCGAAGTCTCAGGAATTCCATCCCTCGTCTTTGACACCTGCAAGGTGGACCAAGCCTGCCTCATAAACTCTTTGCCCAATGAAGAGGCTGCTTGAGCGTGAGGTACTCCATTCCGGACTTGATAGGAATATCGTAGCCGGAATGCCTTCCACACTTCACCAACTTCTTCCCGCCCATGCGCGTGCACTTTCTCCCTGATGTCTCCAAAAATGCCTGGGATAGCAATGTTTGAAGTTCAAAGCCATTCGAAAACTTTAGGGGCTCTACTTTAGGAAAACCTTTCTATTCTAGTTGTTACTGGTGTCTGGAAGGGACCCTTTTTAGCTTAAAAATGTTTCTTCGTCGGCATGGGGCGTGATAAAGACAATGAAATGGACCCTTTTGACTTCTCTTGATGAATACGGGAGGAACTTGTCCTTTTGAATAGTTTAGTTGAGGTGTCCGGAACAGGCCCTCTTCTGCATCAGAAAGGGTCTTTTCCGGACACCTCCAAAACTAATGATTTTCAACTGTAATTACCAGACCTGACACCGAAGCACACACACATGAAGTATGACAACAAGAATTTGTGTAGTATATGGCTGACTGCTGCGACAAGACACAATCTGGCAAGGATGGGTGGCCTTCATGGGCCAGCAGAATTTCTCTGCATGCGTCACTGCATTCTGTGGCTGAGCAAAAAGACAAACTGCCAGAACCCAGTTGCGTGTCCATCACGGTCAAGCCAAACCTATCTGCTGCCGTCCTGATGTGGGATAATGCCACTTCTCCTGTTCCAAGACCTGAATAGTCAGTAGTCACCTCTAACCCCGCTTGGAACTTCTCAGTCATGTACTGGCTAAGACCGGCTTCATAACAACGGGCAACACCAACAGCAGGCCAGTGCCACATCTCTGTCCGAGACCTTGGGCCACCGTCTGGATGAAGATCATCACCAAAAGGGGGAGGAAGCTGCAGGCTAGTGCCAAAGATGACATCGCCAGGGCCATCGCAAGGCCTGGATCTCTTTTGGACCATGGAATGATGAGGCCTGTGCAGCACCCTAGTTGGCTTCACAAGAGCCCCTGGCAAACACTATGGCGGTCCAGGAAAGACAAAGGTTCAGGCAATACGCGTTTCCATTTGGTCAGCTCTCAAGTCTTTCCAAGCAGTCTTTATTGGTTTTTCAACCAGGCTTCACTTTTTCAACAGATTTGATGCCATTTGATAGGTTTTATATCGTTTCAACTGGTTTTTGAACAAAACCGAGGGACTCTGAAGAATTTCTCATTTCTTTTCAATCTCTTTGGAAGAATTTGCCTTGGGCACTCAGGTCCAGGCCTCGCAGCTGCTTCATACGAAGAGGAAACCTGGGGCCCCAGAGAAAATGAAACAATTTACCATTTCCTTTGAAGGTGGCCAAACTCGAGTAAGGTACGAGTAACATAGTTTGTTTACACAAATAGGGGGCCGAGTAAGGTTCGAGTAACTGAGCGAGTAAGGTACGAGTAAGGTTGTTGTTTACACAAATAAGGGGTCGAGTAAGGTGCGAGTAATGAAGGTTGACAAGGAACCACACAATAAGCTATATCTGAAAAAGTCTCCTGAACTTGTCAACTCACTCCTCCAACTGCTCTAAATTTGAGCGTTTCTTCCAATTTCTTCAAAAATCGACCCACAATCTCTACCTTTTGACATAAATCGCAAAGAAAACAAGAAAATGTGGTGAAATGACTCGCAAATCAAAAAACTTGATAGAAATCAACATAAACTCAAAAAAACGCACTGTAGAGCGTTCAAAACGGAAAACTGCTCCTGTTGCTTGTTGTGTCCCTCACGCGGCTCTCTAAATAGAGACTGGAAACCTTCTGAGCGCATATCCACACAACTATCATCCCAGCAGGCAACAGGTGAACCCTGGCCTCGAAAGAAATTGGAACCAGCGTCCCAAGTCACACGTCCTGCAAAGCAAGCGGGCGCCACGGCAATGAGATGAACTGCAATCAACGGCCTACATCTCTCCAAAGTTTTAGGGAAGAATTGCACACCAGAAGAAGATTGTGTTTCTATCTGTTCAAAGCCTGCCTGCCTGCACCTGAACATAAGCTAAGCGAAAAATGCAAATTCCTCCCCAAGGCTGAAGTCTTTACACCAAGAACTATCTCCATCTCGGCCTCTGAACTTCGCTCAGGGTTCTCCACTCGAAGCCACATTCCAACCCACAGACCTACAGTCAATCGCAGTGCGACGTCGCTACATCCTCGAGCTTGCGAAATACACGTGTAGTAAATAGAAACATATATATATATATTATATTTTCAAAAAAGGAACTCTCCAAACGCAAACTGAAGCAACACAACAAGTTAAAGCCTCGTCTGACAAAGGCATCCAAAAGCAATCCTCGCAAGAAACCAAAGGTGGACCAACACTATCCACAACTGCATGTGTGTGGGAAAAGTGTATTGAAATTCAATCCATTGAAGGCAAGGGAAAAGACGCCTTCATCAAGTCACAGCTCAAGACTGATGTCCAATCTTGCTGGACTCCAGCGGCGCAAGAAACCTGTCCGTACCCATGCACATACCCTCAGAAGGAATGCGTTGTCTCATCCAAAGCTCTGCAAAAGAAACAACGCAGCCCAAAGTAAACCAATTGCATTACAGGCGAACGCTACCTTCTTCATAAGTTGCGCAAGCGACCCTGGAATCAAGGTCGCAAAGATGGGAAACGCCTTCACATTGTTCTAAGTTACTCAAATACTGATAGGTGCACCTCGGTGGCACTGTCTTGGAGAAGGCTCCCCACCTGAAGACATCAATACAAAACCGCACCCCAACTTCCAACTTTCACATGGGCCAAGCCCTCTTTGACCAAATCAACTGGGATGCTGACACTGCCGCAACCAAAAGCTGCGAACATCCAAGCCCAGCGCGAATAAAGCAGGGCGCGGAACGACATCTATGTATTGTACCTGCAGCACAACATCTAAAAGACCCTGGTTGCAAGCCCAGCCCACATTCCTTCCGCCTACAAAAAACAACTACACATCAAGAAATTGGCCTTCAAGCCTCGAAGGACGGCTGCCCAAAACAAACGAGACCAAGAAATGAATAAATGGACTTTTCAATCAAAACGGTGGAAAGTCCATTTATTCATTTTCTGTCACTTGAAAGCAAATGAACTGCAAAGACATGAAAACTCAATCTTGAATTGCATCGAATGGCTTCAGCCGAGTTGAAGAAACTTAATGACCCTAGTTCACGCTTTCCGCACCTCCTCGAATTCAGATGCAAAAGCGTTCCAATCAGATAGCGGCAAGAGTCCTGGCAAGGCAAGACTCCAGAAACAAACCTGACACCAAACAACAAAAAGTTGCACTTGGCAGCTGCCATCATTGTCTGTCTCACTGACTGAACAAGCTGCCTTGCCTCAATCTGAACTTGAAGATGAGTCGGGAGAGGAAGATGTGGAAGTGGAACTGCTTGAGCGCGACTCTGGCGACGACCCATGTGGTTTTGAAGAAACCATGGCCGCCTTGGCCTTTGCCTTCCCAGCTTTTGCTTTGGCTTTAGCTTTGCCTCTTGGGGCGCGCTCCTCAACGCGCAATGCTGCAGCAGCAGCATCTAAATCCGTGTCGGGGACAACCGACTCCTTTGGGCAAACCATGGACCTGGACTTCTCTAACAGAGCTTCCTCTGGCGGAGCCTCAATGGATCGAGGATTGAACGCCGCATGCTTCCAAGCGCGGTCGTATGTTGGCCCTGAAAGAAGCCAGTGCTGAATCATCCGCAGACAGGCATGCCTAGCTGCTTCTGAATCCTCTGTGACATTCAAAGATCTGGTGCACTTTGCAGTGTCAGTCTTTCTGTGATAAGGACACATGCCCTGGTAGGCACCGTGCTTGCACTCTCCAGTTGGTTTCCGCCAAGTAATGCGAAAAGTTTGCTCGCCAAGCCCCCAAGCTGTCAAGGTTTGCGGTTGCACTTCCCTCGCGATCGCCTTTGATGGCAACGCCACTGATTTCACTTCCTCTGCCACAGGCGGCCCATCGACCGACATGTCGTGAGCCACACGATCAGCTGAACTGCCAGGAACGGGCCTTGACTCTTCATCACTTTGTTGGTCAGGCCCAATATCTTCCTCGTCTCCAGATTCCCATTCTCCAAAGGATGCAGCACAATCATCCTCAAGAGCTAGTAAGAATTCGCTGCATTCAGAACCATCGCTGGGCGAGCAAGCCTTGCGCTTTCTGGTTCTGCGAGGCTGCTTGTCTGCAACAGGTGGCTGATCAAGAGCAGTGTGCCAATCCATCCCTTCATCCACAGCATGGGAATGCCAGTTGAGACTGTTGGTCTGCCACGGCCACGATCACTCTTTGCCGCAACCATTTGGGAGATTGCCGCATAATCGCCCTCGAGCATCTTGCGGTAGTAAACAATCTTCATGCCGTGGTGCAATTCGCAGGGGCTCTCATTCTGAGGTTCTGAGGTTACAGGCTGTAGGTGGCGATGAGCTGAAAGCAAACACATGGCATATTCTTTGGACACGTTGGGTGTGGAACTATACCATATTTTGGGGCCGCCCAGGACAAAGGGAGAAACCAATGCCTTCTGCGGTAGCTTGCTCCATGTCCAGCCTTCCACCTCCATCAATTTGAGCAATTGCCAGGTTGTTAAACTGTCAAGCTTCAAGGGCAAACTTGTCGGAACGTCACAAACGGGCACTGGTGCGCTCACAACCTGGGACACTTGAAGCTGGCCAAGCCCGTGCCTTGTCAGCTGCCAACCCCCATCAAGCTCACAAACCCACGCCTCCGACAGCAGTTCACGAAGCACGCGCACCTCATCCTCAACATTGGTTGTCAACACTCCCTGCTTCCCTTCCAAAGCATGTGCCTCAAAAAACTTTCGGAGTAGCGATGATGAAGTTGAGCAAGCAAAGTTTGGCAGTGTGTAGACCACATCCCCTATCCTGCTCCATTTGCGCATTTGGGCAACATTTGCTCCCAACCCAAAAGTTGACAACACTCGGACAGGGTCCCCAGCATCGCTGCAACAACGAGGCTGCCAATCAACAGCAACTTGATCTCCTCCTGTCATATCCACGGACCCATGAAATGTTACCACAACATCCCCAACACCCAACCTCTTGCGGCTAGCTTTCACAGTTCGTAGTTGAGAGGCCTTGGCACAAACAACCCTGAAAAAGCAGTCCGAATCGATGCAAGAAGCAGCAGGACGCTCGGGCAAACGCTTCATCTCTGGCTCAGGTAAAGCTAGCTGGCTAGCCAAAGGTTCTGCTTTGCCAGATTCAGGGAGCGAGTAAAAGTTTCCAGGCACCAATGAATCACGAATATGCTTCACCAACTCGCACTGCATCACGCCTTCTTGGGACACAGCTAGCGACTGCTTGGGAAACAACTGTTGGTTTGCTTGAGCAGCTTCTCCTTGGCGTCTCTTATGCAAACGGCGCACATCTTTGTGCGACGCAAACATAGTCTGCGGGTCTGTGCTGTACATGATGGCATTGCACAGCTTACGGATACCTCCTTGTTGTTTCGCAGGCCTGCTGGTAATGTCACGCCATGTTGGATGAGTAGTGAACCTGAAGGCATTGGCAAGTTGCCTGGGTCTCCGTAGCTTTTGGAACGCCTCCACAAAAGCTTCTTGACCCTGAGAAGTGTCCAAAAGAACATCCATTTCTGGCAGCCGCTGAGAACAAGAAATGAAAGCCCCAGACACCTTTCGGTAGCCTGTGTGTCTATGCACCTGGCTGTGGGCTCCTTCTACGATTCTCTCTACCACTGGAACGAAAAAAAATGGAATGAAGGCCGACAGAAGTTCTGGAAACTGGGACGCATCAGATTCAGTATTGCCAGCCAGTGATTCCACCTGGGCCCGCAAAGAAGACTT